TCTTCACGTAAATCAAGTTCAGGATCATATATAAATGTTGATTGTTGATGAACTAAATTCATTGTTGTCATTGAATCTAAAATATAAATGAATTAGTCTTGCAAAATGATTTTAAGATTTACTCGATTCATTCTTTGCAAAGTCTGTTCAGAAAAAAAAAAGCCTTATCGAAGTTAAATTGTTAAAGTAGTATGTAGCTCACTGTTATTATTACTTTTGCTTTCTCTTTCTCATTTTCTCTACCTTGATTGGCATCGAAATCGTTTGTGTATAGAGCACTTTTTTCTTATTCAACAAATGGTTTCGTCCAGGCTTAGTCAACAATCTATGATCGAACGATCTTTTCAAGTAATACATATGCAAACTCGTTTTTTTTTTTTTTCGTTTTCTTTTTTTCTCTTTTTCTTCTTCCTTTTGATTATTATTTTTTTCTTTTAAATATAAAAAGACAAAAAGTTACATTATTTCACATCTATGAATATTGATAAGGTTACACACTATCTAGAATATACACCTGCTCACTGCTACAAGCTCGTTTTACTCTTTCAACTTTAAAATGACATCTTTGTTTTTTTGATTATCGAACGGCTTTTTTTATTGACAAAAAAAGGTCATCAAACAAATGTTTATTGATCTCTTCTCGTCAATTTGATGGATGGATCAAACAGACAAGCGATATACATATCGAACGGTGGTGTACAGTTGCTATTAAGAAAACAAATCCGCTCTTTCTATATGTATACAGACGTGTGGTCTAGATCGTTTTTCTCTTCTTGCTTTTTTTTTTCTAACGCTTTGCTGATGATCGATATTTGCCAACGTATACACACACACACAAACACACATAGATGCATATAGTCAATGCCGCTGTGATTTTATATTAATAAGATCGACAGAAGAAGTAAAAGAGATTGTGGACATTAAGACAACAGAGAGAAATATTTGATAGAAACAAATATTAAAGCTACCGTCACGACAACACAACATAGGCGGCAATGACGGGCTTGTGTGTATGTGTGTTTGTTAACTATTGATGATGAAATTTACTCTTTTATTTCTTATTGAAGTATTGCAATAATAGAATTAGCAAACAGCAAAAAAAAGAAAAAAGAAAAAAGTCAAGATGAAATGAATAGTCTACTAGCTTTTCACACAGACATATACATACCTCTATATGTATTATTTGAAATAAAAAAAAAAAGTCAATTAAGTACCTTGTTGTTTAATCATTGTTGTTGATTTTGAAATTTGCTTAAAAATATTAATCATTCGATTTCTACATTGTTCTATCCAAGATGAATTGGTTGGCATATGTTGATTAGATCTATGAATATTTATTGGATTATTAATATCATTCATTTTTATTGTTGATAAATATCGTTGTTCATTATATATTGAATTCATAGATGAATTTTCATTGATGAAATAAGAAACATTATATTCAAAGGCCTTCATAGAAGAATAATTTATGGTTAACATTGCATGTATATGTATTTCTTTTTATAAATGTTACTGATAGAATGGAAGACGTGGTCTGAAATAGTACATATGAAAATGAGTGAAAAGAACAGAATAGGATTAGTAATTTTTATGCTGCCGGCGAAAGAAAGCGGTGACTGTACGATTCTTTTAAAGCATGCATAAAGTACCGTTAACCTTTTACAGTCGTAACAAAAAAAAACATCAAGGCGTTGCAAAATGTTTTTTTTACCTCTTTGCGTATGTCTTTTTTTTCTATGCAATCATCTATATTTGATAGTAAAACTTTTTTGTTAGTTAAAGACATGTTCTTGAAAAACAATTGTCTTTAAATTTCTACAGAATTCAAATTCTATATTTCGCACTAAAAATACAAATAATTCAGACGGTTGCTATGCTATAGATTGTCATTTAAGAAGATGCATTCAGACAAATACGAATAGATAAAAGAATATTGCCATAATCACGTTTACAAAATGTCAGTATTTCGTCTTTCGTTTTTTTTTTCTTGCAATGAAAAAGATTTATTACCATTTTAAGTACCAATATATACAACATCAATAACCATTTTTTTTTTCAAAGTTGTTCAATATGACCTTGTTCGATCGCATATACATATTGAGCATCATTGACGCCATATATATATATATACTAATGCTTGTCAGCAGGAGATTTCTCAATAAACAATCCTACTATTCGATCCCATGGTACCGATTCGATTTTTATCTTTTTCCATCTAGATCAATAACTTTCTTTTTTATTTATCTTACAAATATATTTTACATCAATTTTCTTCTATACTTAGTCTATTACTAGATATGGTCTTTGTAGTATAATAAAGCATAGGAAAAAAAAAAGAAATGCATGGAGACGAAGTATAAGTGACATATAGAGATGTGCAGTGTGCATCATCATTTGAAGGTATATATTTTTTTAAAATTCCTATCAATATCATGATAACCTTCACTCTATCATCACTTAACATACATGCCTATAGAATGTGATATAAATCAATATATTTCAATATATTGCCTACATTTACGAGTCAAGTAAAAAAAAAGAAACATCATATTCAATAAATAGTAAGGTCTTTCAATGCTCACAAAATGATAGTTATAAAATAACAACAAAAAAAAAAAAAAAAATTGAAAGACTCTTTCCTTACGACAGAATTGCCATCGATGTAGGTACTTTTGCTAATATACATATATATTGGGAAGAAATGTCATATCGTGAAGTTCTTTTTTTCGCTCATTCTCTTGCTTTTCTCTTTCTTGTACCCAGCGAACTCTCTAACGCTATACCACCGTTCTCTTACATCGACCAACAAATTAACATATGTGTTTGCGTCGTGTTCGCTTCTTTGTATGCACAGTGAAAGTGAATCAGCTGTTGCATTGCTATACATTTGATTCTCATCTGGTCGACATTGACGAAGGAAAGAGAAAGAGAGAGGAAAAAAAAAGCTCATATATATAGTGATTGTCAATATTTATTGGCCGCATAATAACAATAGTAAATATTAATTTCTTGATGTCTGTTAGTTCGTTTTTTTTTTTGTTTTTATTGCTTCTATCGGAAGACCGGTAAAACCGTGTCTATATAGGTTCACATGAAAACTGAACTTATGTATGTGTAGAATATACCATTACAAAACAACACATTTTTTTTTTAACACATAAATATAAGAAACAAAACAAATGCTTATGGAGAATGGCAAAATGATACAATACAGACAAACAAAATGGCAGGTCATCACAACAACAAAAATAGATAATATAAATAGAAACGAAAGAACAAAAAAGAAACTTTTATCATAATTAATATTTTAATAATTTGTTTTTTTGTTTTGTTTTGTTTTGTTTTAATGACTTTACTCTCTATAACAACACAAATGGCTTGTTTATGGATCATTCTCACAGTTAAAAGACAAAGAAAAAAGAAAAAAAACAAACCCACACAAGCATATGTTGTCATCTGACTTGACAACGAATAGATCCAGGAAAAAAAAACAACAAACAAACAAACAAACGAACATGATTTGCCTATAAATATAAATGACACTACACGAATAAATATTGCCTACATTGAAATTAAAAAAAGAAAGGGAAAAAAAAGAAGAAAATGAGAAAGAAAGAAATAAGACTTATATTGTATTATATATGTCCTTTTTTTTTTTCGTTGAATACTTGTTTGATTATGTATCAACAATAGCTCGTTTTGGTTCAGCTGTTTTATAAAAAACATTTTTAACAAGTAAACACCGGGGACTTACATATAATGAACTTTTTTCTTTAAATGATTTAAATAATTTTATATCAGGTAAAAATCTTCTTAATGTAAATACTTTTGTATCTTCATGTAAATCTATTTCAATTTCAAATATTGTTTTTTGTTTTGGATTTATTCTTATTATAGGTAAATATTTTACTATTGTTGATTTCATATTTGATGATGATGATGATGATAATGTTAATTTAATTTTAATTTGTGCACCCATAATACCAAATGGTTCTTCAGCTGACATAATTAAACATTGTTGAGCAATATTTCGTATATGATTACATGGAAGAAATAAATTATTACATGATAAATGTTTTATTTTACTTTCACGTAATGTTGTTAATAAATGTTTTGATATAAGTGTAATATGTTCTTCACGTAAATCAAGTTCAGGATCATATATAAATGTTGATTGTTG